TCCCCTTACTGTTCATCTTCCTTTCAGACACCAGATATTTAGATATTTTGGACCAAGCATGGTGGCTCACGCTTGTAATTCCAGCACTTAGGGAGGCTGAGGTGGGCAGATTGCTTGAGCTCAGGAGTTCGAGACCAGCCTGGGCAACATGGTGAAACCCCACCTCTGCAAAAATTAGCTGGTATGGAGGCGAGTACCTATAGTCTCAGCTACTTGGGAGGCTGAGGTGGAGGACTGCTTGAGCCTGGGATGTTAAGGCTGCACTGAGCTGTGATTGTGCCGCTATACTCCAGCCTGGGTGCCAGAAAGATATCCTGTCTCATAAATAAAAATAAGATATTTAGATGTTTATAAAGCATACATCAAATCATTTATCTTCTCCTTATAAAATACTTAGCATAAAGTCTGAACTTTTTACAATGGCCTACAAGCCTTACATGATCTGGTCCCTGCCTGACACTCCATCTTCATCTTCCTCCTCCCTGTCTTCATTCTTAATGTTCTAGCCACATTGACCTTTCTGTTCATTAAACTGCTCATCAAAGGCATCTGTGCTTGCTGATTTTTCTGCTTGAAATGGTTTTCTGCATGATCATTGCTCCTTTCCTTGAAGGCCTCAACTCAGTTTTGATCTCTTCTGAAAGGTCATCACTGGCCATACTAACTAAAGCAGCTTTCTAGTCATCCTAAATTAAAACCATGTATTATTTTCTTCACACTACTTAGAGTACCTCAATTTATATTTATTTATTTATATGTTTAATGTTGCTCTCCACACCTCCTGAAATGTAAGCCCATAAAGACAAGGAATCATGTCTCTCTTGTTACTTATCATATTAGTGCCCAGAACAGTGCCTGATGCACTGATGGGTCTCTGATATGTGCTGACTGACTCATTTATCTGTATAGTCTCACCTTTTAACACTGTCTTTCTTGCCCACTGTATTTGGGTTTCTGTACTTTTGTCTTTTGAAAGCGCCATGCTTTTTCTCAACTGAGTACTCTTGTACCTGCTATTTCCTCTACCCACCCCCAGACCCCACAACCGCTCTTCGTTTGTGTCTCACTAGCTCATATTCTGCCATTAGAAATTAGTCACTTAATGCTGAGCGCGGTGGCTCACGACTGTATTCCCAGCACTTTGGGAGGCTGAGGCAGGCAGAGCACGATGTCGGGAGTTTGAGACCAGCTTGACCAACATGGTGAAACCCTGTCTCTACTAAAAATACAAAAATTAGCTGGGCATGGTGGTGCACGCCTGTAATCCCAGCTACTCGGGAGGCTGAGGCAGGAGAATCACTTGAACCTGGCAGGCGGAGGTTGCAGTGAGCTGAGATCACGCCACTCTACTCCAGCCTGGGTGACAAAGTAAGACTCTGTCTCAAATAAATAAATAAATTAGTCACTTACTTAGAGTGGGATTCCCTGACATGTTATAGGGAAACCTAACCTAGGTTCTAGGTTACATGTCTCCTATCTTTTATTGTAGCAGACATCACATTTAAATTATTTATAAGCTCTGTGCAGGCAAGGAACAACTTCTTAACTGCTCCCCGCTTCATCTACAGCCCTTAGTTGTTTCTTTTTCTTTCTTTTTCTTTCTTTCTTTCTTTTTCTTTTTTTTTCTGAGACAGAGTTTTGCTCTTGTTGCCCAGGCTGGAATGCAATGGCATGATCTCTCCTCACTGCAACTTCCGCCTCCCAAGTAGCCTTTGGAATAGCTGAGATTACAGGCACGCGCCACCACGCCCAGCTAATTTTTTGTATTTTTGGTAGAGATGGGGTTTCACCATATTAGCCAGGATGGTCTCAATCTCCTGAACTTGTGATCCACCCTCCTTAGCCTCCTAAAGTGCGGGGATTACAGGCGTGAGCCAGTGTGCCTGTCATTTCTTGGGTATTTTCAAGGAAAAGTTCTTGGTTGGAATTTGTCCAATTTTGCATTGAAATTAAAGCTAATCAGTTTTGCACGTGTGCTCTCTTTTAAGAATTGATTTCCTGGAAAGTTTTGCTCTCTTGAATTTGCTTTTTTTTTTTTTTTTAAGATGAAGTCTCATTCTATCCCTCAAGTGCAGTGGCGACATCTTGGCTCACTGCAACCTCCGCCTACCACGTTCAAGTGATTTTCATGCCTCAGTCTCCCAAGTAGCTGGGATTACAGGTGCCTGCCAGCACACCTGGCTAATTTTTACATTTTTAGTAGAGATGGGGTTTCACCATTTTGGCCAGACTGGTCTCAAACTCCTGACCTCAGGTGATCCACCCACCCTGGCCTCCCAAAGTGCTGGGATTACAAGCATGAGCCACCATGACAGGCTTTGAATTTACTTTTCTAGTGAAGCATTAGGGAGAAAATCTTCAAATATATCATAGTGGCTAATGTTTATATAATACTCTAGAATTTACAGAGTGGCTACTTACAGCATCATCTCATTTAATCCACGCACTCCAGGGGCCATTGGAATCCCCATTTGTAGATGGAGAAACTAGGAAATGAAGAGGTTAAGTGACTTGCTCAGGGACTAATGACTAATAGAGGCAGAAGCAGGACTCAAGCCTTGGTCCTCCAATTCCAGATCTTAGTCTTTTGCACTATCCCATACTGCCTGTAACTTTCCTTCCTTTGTTTTAAAACCATAATTTGTGATCACATAAAAATGTGGGGAGAGTCTGAGCCTTCATATGCGAGATCTCATCAACTTAATAATGGTTACTGGGACATAGTATCACCATGGCCACAGTACTCAATGTTGGAAAATAACCCTGTGAAATATTTGAACCACTACTCCTATGTGGTTGTTTGGGATATGCAGTCATCTAATCTTTATTTTCAAATGAGGTAATTAGTGTATGGTGTTTGTTTCTGAAGGAGGCAGCCAGCAATTAACAGGAACAGGCCCTAGCTAGAAGAGGGTTGTTTTTTCTTCTTTCAGACAACCAGCTGTGATAGAGCACATGAAATTTCCTCTTTGAACTGTCATTTCCAACAAATTTCTTTCATTTCCTTTGCTCTGATGCCCCGTGCCTCTGTTGGGGGTGGAGCAGGAGGCAAGTTATTGCATCCTGGTGGAATCCCCTGGCTAGATGGCAGTGGCTCATGCCTGTAATGCAGCACTTTGGGAGGCCGAGGCAGGAGGATCACTTGAGGCCAGGAGTTCAAGACCACCCTGGGCAACATAGTGTTTCCAAAAATTTAAAAAATCAGCTGGGCATGGTGTTACACACCTGTAGTCCTAGCTACTAAGGAGGCTGAAGTGGGAGGATCACTTGAGCCTAGGATTTTGAGACTGCAGTGAGCTATGATTAAACCACTGTATTCTAGCTTGGATGGCAGAGCAAGACCCTGTCTCTTAAAAAAAAAAAAAAAAGAAAGAAATCTACGCACAGTGGCTCATGCCTGTAATCCCAGCACTTTGGGAGGCTGAGGCAGGCAGATTGCCTGAGGTCAGGGGTTCAAGACCATTCTGGCCAACATGGTGAAGCCCCATCTCTACTAAAAATACAAAAATTAGCTGGGCATGGTGGCATGCACCTGTAGTCTCTGCTACTCTGGAAGCTTAGACAGGAGTATGACTTGAACCTGGGAGGCAGAGGTTGCAGTGAGCCAAGATCGCACCACTGCACTCAAGCCTGGGTGACAGAGTGAGACCCTGTTTCAAAAAAACAAAAACAAAAAAATAATCCTTGGAAGAATTAAGGGTTAAATTTCTGTGGCAGCAATGTAAGTCTCACCAGGTGGGCTCCCTGCCTACTGAGAAGAGTCATCTGGCACTAAAACATCAAAACTAGCCTGGGTTCCTGCCATGCCTTCAGCATGGGGCATCAGTAAGTTTTTCTCAGGATATGATCGGTACTTCCCCTCTGGGGACTGTGCAGTTGGCACAACTATTTCTTTTCATTTTTGACTGTAATTCTAGTCTAAATAGTCTCATGGGTTCTGGCTGCAATCTCCTGTCATTCTAATCCCAAGCAGCCAAGATCAGACACTGGAGTATCTCTTTACTGGCAGCTCCAGACTTGAACTTTGGAAAGTGTGGGAAATTCCATTCTTTGGGCACGTAGGACTTGTGACTGTACAATAGAAGAGCTTCTACCATGGAAGTGTTTTCCCTGCTGAGTAGAAATGGCATCAGAATAATATGGAGAAAAGCATAATGAAAATAGTTTTTTATGTGTATATGATATTTTACTACTTTAAAAAGTGATTTATGTTTATTATGTTTTTTTCCTCCTTATAACCCCAGGAAGCAGATTGGCAGAGGGGTTAAGAATATCAAGTCTGAGCCGGGCGCGGTGGCTCAAGCCTGTAATCCCAGCACTTTGGGAGGCCGAGGCGGGTGGATCACAAGGTCGAGAGATCGAGACCAACCTGGTCAACATGGTGAAACCCCGTCTCTACTAAAAATACAAAAAATTAGCTGGGCATGATGGCACGTGCTTGTAATCCCAGCTACTCAGGAGGCTGAGGCAGGAGAATTGCCTGAACCCAGGAGGCGGAGGTTGCGGTGAGCCGAGATCGCGCCATTGCACTCCAGCCTGGGTAACAAGAGCGAAACTCCATCTCAAAAAAAAAAAAAGAATATCAAGTCTGGATCTGTATTGCCTTAGTTTAAATTCACATTCCAACATTTATAGCTATGGGCAGTTTATTTCATCCCTCAGTGCCTCAGTTTCCTCACCTATCAAATTTAGACTTATAGACTTCTAGTGAGGATTAGAATAGGTCACGGCAAAAGTTGATATAGAGTGTTGTTATTGTGTAAGAAAACCAAGTTTCAGAGAAATTAGGGACATTGGACTGAGATTCAAACTCAGATTCTCCTTATTTTGGGCCTGTTCTGTCTACTCCATCTTAGCTGCCTCTGAAAGCAATACCTTGTATATTTGTGTACTGGTACTGTTGTGTGTTGCTAGTTTGGATCCTTAGGAACTCCGGACCTTCTTCTCTAATTATTTATTTTTATTTCTTCCATCTCTCCTCATTCCTTAACTCCCCACGGAGAGGACCTTAAGTGGACAGAGAATTTAGAACAGGAGAAATAAAACAGTAAGTGCTAGGGGTATAGTATGTACTCTTGGGACACAGGGAAGCCTCACAAATGGTGCAGAGGAAGAGTAATTGATAGATCTAGAAAATAAGCCATTTCTTGGTACCACTCAAAAACATTAATATACAACCTTATTTGCTACATTGGTTGTGGCAGGGAGTTGTAGTGCCATCTTAATTTCATCTAAAATTGATAGCAAACATCCTCCTAATTGGTGTATCCTTTGGATTGTATCATTATTTAACTTGAGCTCTCCCTGTATCCACTGAGATTCCAGTGAAAGTGGGGAGGAGAGAACAGATTCAAGAGATACTTGGAGGTCTGGTGGTGGCTCATATCTGTAATCCCAGAACTTTTGGGAGGCTGAGGCAGGCGGTTCACCTGAGGTTGGGAGTTCGAGACCAGCCTGACCAACATGGAGAAACCCCATCTCTACTAAAAATACAGAATTGGCCAGGCATGGTGGCACATGCCTGGAATCCCAGCTACATAGGAGACTGAGGCAGGAGAATCACTTGAACCCAGGAGGTTAGGTTGTGGTGAGCCGAGATGGTACCACTACACTCCAGCCTGGGCAACAAGAGCAAAACTCCCTAGAGAGAGAGAGAGAGAGTGAGAGAGCGAGAGCGAGAGAGAGAGAGAGAGAGAGAGAGAGAGAGATACTTGGGAGAAACATTTAATTCTAACAAAGACCCTGTGAGTCATCAGGGCAGATACTCATATCATTAGTCTTATGGAAGAGAAACAATTTGTACAAGATCATAAATGAAAAAACTTGTATTCTGGTCTTTTTCCCCATGCAGGTAGGAGAATGGTCCAAGTGATGAATAGCAGCATTGATCCTGGTACATAAGCAGTAGTGTTGAGTGTGGACATTTTACTCATGTAGAAATGTTACAGATTGGACAGGTTCCCTTTCCTGTAAATAAGGAATAATCTTTAGCTTTTTAGTAATTCTCTAATATTTCTATTTTATTTAGGACATCATTTGGGAGCAATGAGTTTAAAACCCTTCACCTACCCATTTCCAGAGACGAGATTTCTTCATGCAGGATCCAATGTGTATAAATTCAAAATCAGATACGGGAACAGTATCAGGTAATTTCAAAGGTAGGAGGGTAGTCTCTGTAAACATCAGTTAGTGCTAGTGCATTCCCACAGGTCACTCCTTTTCTACCTTCACCCAGGTGAGTTCAGGAGAGTGGTAAAGTAGCATCTTGCAGGATGTCTTTCCCAGGAATTTTATATTCAGTATATATATATATTATTCATATGAGTCTCTAAACTAGGGACAGCATATCTTTTTTTTTTTAGAGAATTGGATCTCACTATGTTCTCCAGGCTAGTCTCAAACCTCTGGCCTTAAGCAATCCTCTCACCTCTGCCTCCCTAAGTGTTGGGATTATAGGTATGAGCCACCACACCCAGCCTAGGACATATCTTTGAAGCAGTATTTCTCAAAATTTTTCATCTCGGGCCCAGGAGCAGTGGCTCACGCCTGTAATCCCAGCACTTTGGGAGGCCAAGGTGGATGGATCACTTGAGGTCAGGAGTTCAAGACCAGCCTCGCCAACATGGTAAAACCCTGCCTCTACTAAAAATCCAAAAATTAGCCAAGCATGGTGGTGGGCGCCTGTGATCCCAGCTACTTGGGAGACTGAAGGCAGGAGAATTGCTTGAACCTGGGAGGCGGAGGTTGCAGTGAACTGAGATTGTGCCACTGCACTCCAGCCTGGGCGACAGAGAAAAAAAAATTTCATCTCAGGACTCCCTTGAAATGTTTCTTTTTTTCTTTTTTTTCCCAAGACAGGGTTTCATGTAGAGTGGTGTAATCACTGCAGCCTAGGCTTGCTGGGCTCAAGGGATCCTCCCACCTCAGCCTCCAGACTAGCTAGGACTACAGGCATAGTGCCACTACACCAGGCTAATTTTAAAATTATTTTTGGTAGAAATGAAGTCTCACTATTTTGCTCAGGCTGGTCTCAAACTCCTGGGCCCAAGGGATCTTCCCTCCTCAGCCTTCCAAAGTGTTGGGATTCCAGGCATGAGCCACCCGTACCCAACATGCATTCCTTAAAATTATTAAGGACCCCAAAGAGCTTTTGATTATATCTGTCAATATTTGTCATAAAAATTAAAGCAAAAACAGCCGGGTGCGGTGGCTCAAGCCTGTAATCCCAGCACTTTGGGAGGCCGAGGCGGGTGGGTCACGAGGTCGAGAGATCGAGACCATTCTGGTCAACGTGGTGAAACTCTGTCTCTACTAAAAATACAAAAAACTAGCTGGGCGTGGTGGCGCGTGCCTGTAGTCCCAGCTACTTAGGAGGCTGAGGCAGGAGAATTGCCTGAGCCCAGGAGGCGGAGGTTGCAGTGAACCTCTGCACTGCATTTGATCAAACCCAGTACCTCACCCTTTCAGGATAAAAACACTCAATTAAAACAACAACAACAACAACAACAACAACACTTGGCTGGTCACAGTGGCTCACACCTGTAATACCAGCACTTTGGGAAGTCGAGTCAGACAGATCACCTGAGGTCAGGAGTTCAAGACCAGCCTGGCCAACATGGTGAAAACCTGCTTCTACTAAAAATACAAAAATTAGCCAGGAGTGGTGGCAGGCACCTGTAATCCCAGCTACTCGGTAGGCTGAGGCAGGAGAATCGCTTGAACCTGGGAGGCAGAGGTTGTAGTGAGCCAAGATTGTGCCATTGTACTCCAGCCTGGGCAACAAGAGCAAAAAACTCCATCTCAAAAAAATAAAATAAAAAATAAATTAGCTTATTTGTATTTGGAATTTGGAAAGATAGGACTATATCCCTCTTAGATCATTGTGGATATTCTTTGACCCTATGACAAAACTGGACAAATCATAGTTTGGGATTTTTTTTAATTGGTAATTTTTTTAAGATTAGTTGCAAAATGTGGAATCTGAAATTATATCATGAACTTTTTGAAGTCTGTTACATTAAAATATATTGGTCTTTGTTGTTCTTTGAATGTTTGACCTAGGAGGATTTTTGTTTTTGTTTTTGTTTTCTTCTTTTTTTTTTTTTAATTGCATGTTAGGTTTTAGTGTTTTGTTTTTTTGAGATGGTTTTTCACGCTTGTCGTCCAGGCTGGAGTGCAATGATGTGATCTTGGCTCACTGCAGCCTCTGCCTCCCAGGTTCATGTGAGTCTCCTGCCTTGGCCTCCCAAGTGGCTGGGATTTCAGGCACCCGCCACCAAGCCTGGCTAATTTGTTATATTTTTATTTTTATTTTACTTTATTTATTTATTTATTTGATACAGAGTTTTGCTCTTGTTGTCCAGGCTAGAATGCAATGGCGGGATCTCAGCTCACCACAACCTCTGCCTTCCGGGTTCAAGTGATTCTCCTGCCTCAGCCTCCTGAGTAGCTGGGATTCCAGGCATGCACCACCATGCCCAGCTAATTTTTCTATCATTAGTAGAGATGCAGTTTCTCCATGTTGGTTAGACTGGTCTCCAACTCCCAACCTCAGGTGATCCGCCCTCCTCAGCTTCCCAGTGTGCTGGGATTATAGTGTGAGCCACCGAGTCTGCCTGACCTGGGATGATTTTGTAACATGATGTGTTTCATTGGTCATTTGGAATATTTTGGTTCACTAACTTAAGCAGATCCTCCAAATATTGACACATTTCATTGTGCAGTATCAAAAAATATTTGTTAATATCACCGCAATCTTAAAAGTGTTGAAGTATTTAGAAACTGTCAAACTCACAATGGTAGACAGAAATTTTCCAAAATTTAAATTTTCACTTGAAAGGCCAAAATTTATTGGTGACAACAAGTATTGTCAGTTGTTTTCCTTTATTTGACATGCTTATTGTATTCATTTTTAAGAAAATGTCTATCAAACTCCCAAGTATGAATAACAACCATAGTTTGTCTGTTAGCTAACCATTCAAGTAAAATATTCCATGAAGAAAAGCAGAGACAGTTCAGTTTGCAGCTTGAACAGTCACACAAGTGAGTTTCCCTAAAATAACCATCATATTTTGGTATGCAGCAGAAGTGCTGTATGCATACTTTGTGTTTTCTCCATATAACATTTAAAAGATATGTAGTCAAAGATTTGAGATTTTATAAAATGATTGCTTTTTTTTTTTTTTTTCTACTGCTTCCTCAAGGATATTCAGTGAAACAGGATTTTCTTTTCTTATGCAGCAGTAAAGATTACTTTGACTTTCATATCAGAGTCACGGCACCAAAGGAAAAATAAAAAGATTGCTTTAACTGACAGTACAGCCTAGTGCAACTAGCTAGATTTGTGCTAAGGTGCTAGCAATTTTGCCCACCATCACTTTTGCAATCATGGTTACAAATATTAACATAGTGAGAAAGGCAAATTGTATCTTAGTATTATTATGAAAATAGTTTTACCCTGGCAGAACTATTGAAAGGGACTTCAGGCTAGGCACGGTGGCTCACACTTGTAATCCTAGCCCTCTGGGAGGCTGAGGCGGGCGGATCACGAGGTCAAGAGATCAAGACCATCCTGGCCAACATGATGAAACCCCATCTCTACTAAAAATACAAAAAATTAGCTGGTCATGGTAGTGCGTGTCTGCAGTCCCAACTACTTGGGAGGCTGAGGCAGGAGGATCGCTTGAACCTGGGAGGTGGAGGTTGCAGTGACCCGAGGTTACGCCAGTGCATTCCAGCCTGGCAACAGGGTGAGACTCCGTCTCAAAAAAAAGTGGGGGCGAGGGGTCTTCAAAACCCTTAAGGGTCCCCAAAGCACACTTAAAAGTACAACTGCTCCAACAAATGATTAACTTTCACAGTGGGAATTTCAGGTTTTAGCAGGTTAACTAAGAAGTCATTTTGGTACAGCCTGTACTGATGTTCAGACCATACCACGTAGGTGATCACTTCTTCCTCATGAGCATTGGGGCAGCACACAGAATTGTTACTTACGTTTCTTTAGCTCAATGGAAGTGTTATTTTTGCCCTAGTAGAGTCTACTCTCTCCTGAGCTTTCCTTCATGTCTTACTTGTCTCTTGTCTGTTTACCTTCTAGAGGAGAAGAGATAGAAGATAAGGCAGTCATCATCCAGGAGCTGGAGGTAGGGAAAGAAGCATGCAACTTGTGGAAAAGTTGTTCTTTAAGCTAAGGATACATCCACATTCAGGTTTTAATTATTTCCTATAAACTGAGTTACAACCTCCACTTGATAATTTGGCTTCTCCCTGCCACATCTCCTTTGCAAAGTATCTTTACTGTTTTTCTAGGGAAATGTAAAGCTTTTTATTCTTGGTCAGTTTTCCTAGTTGAAGTGTCAGCACCTTTGAGGCTGAGAGCTTTTTGTTTCTACCAGAGTTCCCAGCCTTGGGCAGCTCTCTTTTGTGGCAGCTGGCATAGAGAAAGCTTCTGGAGGACTGCCTCCTTCCAGGGCTCTGGGAAACCTTACCATCACAACCACTGCCTGGTACTTGACGTTCAGGAAACTTGACTGTAAATACACAGACAAAGCTGCTGTGTCTTTGTTTTAATTGGAAACACTTGCAATTGTCTTATTCTGACTTCATTTTCATTCCTTTCTACCCAATTCCTTTAGCTTTAGGTTTAGGAAAGAAAACTGAGCAGGTGGTCAGCTTTACAAATTGGTGAAAGCAATGGACAAGGAGTTAGTGTTGTGGGCATTGGCCCTGGATTCCAGTCCTGGTGTAGCCACCAATTAGCTGCCTGGCCCTTGGAAAATCATGTATCAATTTGGATCTTAATTGCCTCATTTGGAAAATGAGAGGTTTAAACTAGCTTTTACTTTTCTGACTTCACAATTCAGTGATTTATGACTATTGTGATTTCTTAATAAGACATATGCCTCCACATTTCAAAGCAGTTAAATACACTTAAACACAAAACTCTGTGAGACCAAAACTGAGTCATACCCTTAAGAAGGTACCTCTTTGGCGAAGTGTTAAAAGATACATTAGGATCTTGCAGGGACCCTCAAGGATGCCATTATAAATAAGTTATTTTAATATAGGACCAAGAAAATGTTATACCTATTTTAATTAAGAGCAGAGCAGACTTTGTTTCACTTTGCTTCCGTTAACCTGGGCAGTGAAAAGCTCAAGGAAGCATAGCAGAGAGGAGGGAACACAGACTTTGGAGCCAGTCAAACCTAGATTTGAATTCTCTGTAGTAGGATATGTCTAGCTTATAATTATACTAGCTAATATTTATTGAGTAATTACTATGGGCAGTGTTCTGCCATTCACAGTGTGACTTTGAGCAAATTACCTACCCTCTCTGAGTCTGTTTCCTTACCTGTCAAATAAGGTTAATAAAGAAGTCCTGTTTAAAGATTGAGCATTAGAAATAGACACAGTAGCTCAATAATTAGTAGCTTGAGCGTATACATTCAATATATATCATATTAAAACTTCCAAGGTACATTTGATATGCATATGCATCTTTCTCTTATGCTCACTAGTTTGGGGGCAGATGTTATTCTCTTTTCTTCATTTAGAGAACATTTACTGAGGCCAGGCGCTGTGGCTCACGCCTGTAATCCCAGCACTTTGGAAGGCTGAGGCAGGTGGATTACCTGAGGTCAGGAGTTTAAGACCAGCCTGGCCAACGTAGTGAAACCCCGTCTCTACTAAAAATACAAAAATTAGCTGGGCGTGGTGGCATGTGCCTGTAGTCCCATCTACTCAGGAAGCTGAGGCAGGAGAATTGTTAGAACCCGGGAGGTGGAGGTTGCAGTGAGCCAAGATCATGCCACTGCACTCCAGCCTGGGCGACAGAGCAAGACTCCATTTCAAAAAAAAAGAAAAGAAAAGAAAACATATACTGAGAAGCAGGCTAGCCTACTGGTTAAGAGTAGGAGTCTGGAACCCCACTGCTTTGGTTCAGATCTTGGCCCAGCTATTTCTAGCTATGTAACCTAGAATAAATTTTTTCACCTCTCTTTGTTTGTTTCCTTATCTGTAAAATGGGAATAATAGAATTGCCTATCTCACAGCGTTTTTGTGAGAGTTAAATTAATTAATATGTATGAAAGCAATAATACAGCCAGGCTCGGTGGCTCATGCCTGTAATCCCAGCACTTTGGGAGGCCGAGGTGGGTGGATCATCTGAGGTCAGGAGTTTGTGACCAGCCTGGCCAACAAAGTGAAACCCTGTCTCTACTAAAAATGCAAAAATTAGCCAGGTGTGGTGGCAGGTACCTGTAATCCCAGCTACTTGGGAGACTGAGGCAAGAGGATCGCTTGGACCCAGGAGGCAGAGGTTGCAGTGAGCAGAGACCACGCCATTACACTTCAGACTCCAGCCTTGGCAACAAGAATGAAACTCCATCTCAAAAAACAAGACAAAACAGTAATACTTCTAATAGTAATTACTCAATAAATATTAGCCATTATAATTATAAACTAGATACTATGCTATTATGGAGAATACAGAGATAAACAAGATATAATTTCTTTTTAAAAAAATTAATTTCTTTTACTTTAGGTACATACTATATCTGGTATTTCTCCCCGTGTTATCCCTCCCCACCCCCAATGTCTCTCCCCTACCCACCCCCAACTGTCCTCAATGTGTGATGCTCTTTTCCCTGAGTCCACATGTGCTCATTGTTAAACACCCATCTATGAGTGAGAACATGCGGTATTTGGCTTTCTGTTCTTGTGTCAGTTTGCTGAGAATGATGGTTTCCAGATTCATCCATGTCCCTACAAAGGACACAAACTCATCATTGTTTATGGCTGTGTAGTATTCTATGGTGTATATGTGCCACATTTTCTTTGTCCAGTCTACCATTCATGGGCATTTGGGTTAGTTCCAAGTCTTTGCTATTGTACACAGGGCTGCAGTGAACATACATGTACATGTGTCTTTATAGTAGAACGATTTATAGTTCTTTGGATATATACCCAGTAATGAGATTGCTTGATCAAATGGAATTTCTATTTATAGATCCCTGAGAAATCGCCACACTGTTTTCCACAATGGTTGAACTAATTTACAGTATCACCAACTGTGTAAGAATGTTCCTATTTCTCCACATCTTCTCCAGCATCTGTTGTCTCCAGATTTTTTAATGATCACCACTCTTTTTTTTTTTTTTTTTTTTTGAGACGGAGTTTCGCTCTTGTTACCCAGGCTGGAGTGCAATGGCGCGATCTCAGCTCACCGCAACCTCCGCCTCCTGGGTTCAAGCAATTCTCCTGCCTCAGCCTCCTGAGTAGCTGGGATTACAGGCACACACCACCATGCCCAGCTAATGTTTTGTATTTTTAGTAGAGACGGGGTTTCACCATGTTGACCAGGATGGTCTCGATCTCTTGACCTCGTGATCCGCCCGCCTCAGCCTCCCAAAGTGCTGGGATTACAGGCTTGAGCCACCGCACCCGGCATGATCACCATTCTTAACTGGCGTGTCTCACTCTGTCGCCTAGGCTAGAGTGCAGTGGTGCAGTCATAGCTCACTGCAGCCCCAATCTTCTAGGTTCAGGTGATCCTCCTACCTCAGCCTCCTGAGTAGCTGGTATTACTGGCATGTGCCACCACACCCAACTAACTTTTGTATATTTTGTAGAGATGGGATTTTACCATGTTGCCCAGGCTGGTCTCACTCCTGGGCTCCAGCAATCCACCTGCCTTGGCTCCCCAAAGAGTGCTGAGATTACAGGCATGAGCCACTGCACTGGCCACAGTTTCTATCTTCTTTGAACCCAAACATGATAACAGTGAAGATTAGGGTGAAATGACAAGGCTGGGACTGAAATTCAGACTTTTTTCCCATAGAAATTTTGTGATCTTTATGATGCCATATTAATTAGTATAGACTAATAAGCACAGCTTAATTAGGGATTAATCAATTTAAAGTGAGTAGAAAAAAAGTTTGACTTAAACAAAAGCAAAATACTATATATCAGTAAATACCAGTATTATTCATTTATTCAATATACATTTGGTGAAGACTTGTTATGCATTATTCATGATGGTAGACACCATAGAAGGGATATTAAGATAAATCAGGTGTATATTCTACTTTAAGTAGATCTCCCAGTAAGGAATATAAAACATTTGTATGTGGAGTGTAGTAAAGACTCCAGGCTAACTACAGTGAAGTTTGATACTAACAGCTAATTACAACTTGGTAAATCAGACAAAGCTTTCTGGATGAGATGGCTTTTGAACTATGCCTTGAAAGATAGGTCAGATTTGGACATGTGCTGATGGGAGGAAAGAGCATTTCAGGAAGAGAAATTCCCTTTCTATGCAAAAGCATAGAAATGGAGAAGCAGGCTGGGTGCAGTGGCTCACACCTGTAATCCCAGAACTTTGGGAGACTGAGGAGGGCAAAGCACTTGAGTCCAGTAGTTCAAGACGAGCCTGGGCAACATGGTGAAACCCCATCTCTACAAAAACTACAAAAATTAGACAGGTGTGGTGGCACGTGCCTGTAGTCCCAGCTACTGGGGAAGCTGAGGTGGGAGGATCACTTGAGCCCAGGAGATGGAGGTTGCAGTGAGCAGAGATCACGCAACTGCACTTCATCCTGGGCCACAAAGCAAGACTCTCAAAAAAAAAAAAAAGAAAGAAAGAAAAAGAAAAGAAAAAGAAATGGAGAATCAGAACACATGTTAAAGGAGCAGCAGATATAGTTCAGTTTTGATAGTATGTATGATATGTGACTAGCAGTGACAGATATAAACAAAGATTGGCTGAGATTCAACAGTGTTAAAGTCGTTTCAAATATGTTTTTCAGGATTCTATCCGTGTGGTCTTGGGAAACTTGGACAATCTTCAGCCCTTTGCTACAGAACACTTTGTTGTATTTCCCTGTATCCTTTTTTTTTTTTTTTTTTTTTTGAGATGGAGTCTTGCTCTGTTGCCCAGGCTGGAGTACAATGGTGCAATCTCGGCTCACTGCAACCTCCTCAGCCTCCTGAGTAGCTGGGATTACAGGAGCGTACCACCACGCCCAGCTAATTTTTGTATTTTTAGTAGAGGCGGGGTTTCACAATGTTGGCCAGGCTGGTCTGGAACTCCTGACCTCAGGTGATCCACTCAGCTCTGCCTCCCAAAGTGCTGGTAGGATTACAGACATGAGCCACCATGCCTGGCCTATCCTTTCTTTTCTGGATGGAACATTGTAGACTCAAATGGAAGTAGCAAAACCATAGGCAGTTTGGAGGGTAGGTCAGGGGAAGGAGAGAGAGTCTCATCCCTAAAATAGTACTTAGGGATGGGATGCACACTGCCATCTTGCTTCGATCCTTAGCAGCATTTCCCAGATAAAAGCAAATGGGAGAGAGTTTCCCACCTGAAATTCAAACATGGGGAAATTATCTTGATCCCCTACCCATTTGTTTTTACTCTATACGTGGAGATGAAATGGTTCCATGAAAACCTGTCACCTGGTAAGTGGAATGACGTGGATAGCAGAGAAGAAAGTGGTTTAGCAGTGCCAGCTGGATATGGTGAAATGGGCTACTGGATTGGGCTCCAGCCACACAATGCACAGGTCAGGATCATGTGCTGCAGGCCAGATTAACCGGTTCAAATACTGGTGGCCCTGCCACTTAATAGCTATGTGAAATTAGATAAGTTACTTAATCTTTCTGTGCCTCCCTTGTGAAATGGTGAAGAATAATACTGGTACCTATATCATTGAGTTGTGATTAGGATTAAATATATAAATACTAGTAGATGAAAAGTACAAAAAGTCTGACTTAATCAATGAAAGGTAACTATTATATAAACGCTTCCATTGAAGAGAATTCCATGATTTTCACTTTAGAGGTGTCTTAAAGGTATCTCCCAATTTTATTTTTATTTAGACAGGGTCTCACTCTGTCACCAGGCTGGAGTACAGTGGTGTGATCATAGCTCACTGTAACCTCTAACTCCTGGGCTCAAGTGATCCTCCTGCCTCAGCTTCCCGAGTAGCTGGGACTATAGGTGTCTACGACCATGCCCGGCTAATTTTTTTTTTTTTTTAAGTAGAGGCAGGGGTCTCACTTTATTGCCCAGGCTGGTCTCAAACTACTGGCCTTAAGTGATCCTCCCGCCTCAGCCTCCCCAAACACTGGGATTACAGGCATGGGCCACTGTGTCCACTCCCGATTTTTATTCTCTGAGTGCCATGGCTATTCTTGCTGATTAAGGGACAAGTAAATATTACCCTTTTGATTTGAAAAGGGATGCAGGCTGGGCACGGTGGCTCATGCCTATAATCCCAGCACTTTGGGAGGCCAAGGCAGGAGGATTACTTGAGGCCAGGAGTTTGAGACCAGCCTAGCCAATATGGCAAAACCCCATCTCTGCTAAAAATATAAAATGTAACCTGGCATGGTGGTGCATGCCTGTAATGCCAGCTACTCAGGAGGCTGAGGCAGGCGAATCCCTTGAACCTAGAAAATAGAGGTTATGGTGAGCCAAGATTGTACCACTGCACTTCCACCTGGGCGACAGAGCTAGCTCCATCTCAAAAAACAGAAAAGGGGTGCAAAAGCCTTGCCTCAAAATCTCTCTCCTTTTCATTTGTTACAGATAGCTGAAGTTCTGCTTTTTTTTCTTTTGTAGTAAGGATTGTCCCCTTTTTAAACCCTTTCTAGCTTGTAGATTATAATCATTCTGAAACGGGAGGAAGAGAGTTTGAAGACACTGTTTTTAGGGGAAATGGTACCAGGTAGAAGGGAGAAGGGCACATTAGAAGGCTTTGTCTAGGGTCAGTTCCAAGAAATAAATGGTAGCCAGAAATCCAGGTAAAACAGAGTCTTGGCAGGGTGCAGTGGCTCATGCCTATAATTCAGCCTGGGCGACAGAGAGAGACCTCGTCTCCATTTTTTTTTTTTTTTTTTTTTTAAAGTCTAATCTATTAAGACACTCACATTTCCTATTGTAGGGAAACCACTAAGTGACAGTCCTCTTGGGTTGGTAAGTTTGCCTTTTCTGTACAAAATGAAAATTGCCTTCATCACCTTCTGTTGTCCAAAAAGTCTTCCTCTTGTCTCTTCCTCTTACTTTGCCTCTCAGTTGCTGCCCAGGTCCAATCAGAACTGTAAATATAAGACCGTATTTTCCCCCTTGGCTAGATTTCTGAGACCATGTCTATAACAGAATGTCTATTCTTACTTGCAAAGCTGGTGTTAAAAGTTGCCTTTGGCAGTTTAAGGATGGGGAGCTGTCTTCACTATGCCTTCATGAACTGTGAACAGCTCTGGAAAAGGAGTAATCACAGGCATCTGCTTCCTCTCTGAAGTTCCCAGCTGAGAAGAAAGCAGTAGGAGCTGTGATGAAACGAAAACACGTGGATGAGCCCAGCTCCCCCAGCAGGCCAGGGCCGGACAGGTCAGTGGTGTGGGGAGAGAGGCTCACGCCTGCATCCTAGTTAGGCTTTACCAGCTATCACTATTGGTTGACCCTGTCCTTCGGTGAGTCACTTTATTTTTTAGGACTTCATCAGTATCTGCCTATTCCAGTGGATGGACTGAGGAAAAGGAGCAAGTTAATATTTATAATATGATTTGAACACAGTCCTTTGTCAGCAAAGTATGATTTTTCTGTTCATCAAGATGAAGTCTGAGAGGAAATACAATCCGATTTAACTGAATTCAGGACATTCCATAATACTTACTATGCTAATATCATCAGAAGGCACAAGACTTATGAAGTCTCAGAATATTATACAAAAACATAGGGAAACTCGAAAGAGTAAGAACAAATAAAATATAATTCTATTTTATCCAGTGAGCAGTTAGTTTTTGGAACCTTAAGAGGCAGTCCAGACTAAAATGTAAATGTTTGCAAGGGGGTCTGTATCTATCATGGGGTGGGGTGCTGTGATCTTAAGGGGAATGTTGTTATGGAGGCTACTTATGTTCTTTCAATTCTCTATCGGGGACAAAATGAGTCAGTAAGACAGTTCAGTCATTCTTATTAGCATGCTAGAAAGCTAATAAGAATACTGCTGGAATAATCCAAGGTGTGGTTTGTTCCCTAGCCCAAGATACTTCCACCCTAGGCCCACAGAAAATAGCTGCCCTTTTCCTGGAACTCTGTAGACCCCTAGACATACAGGAGAAGTAAGAGAGACCACTAGGACGCTGACCCCATGTCCTCCAGAGGTACATGGAGGCAAAGAAGTAGGGAGCTCCCTTCCAAGCCAGGTGGAATATGAGGGTACTTGAAGGTATGAAGCTTTGCTCTGTACCATTCGACTGAATTTTTTATGGAAATGAGGTCTCAGATTTTCCCTTTCTCTGGGTTTTGATACACGATCAAGTATTTCAAAATCTGATACCTGCTGTCAGTCACATTTTCACTTTCTCAAACCCCAGATCCCTAAGGGTCTCAAACTGGGATTCCGCTGTGAATTAAAGCAGCACCCAAAGAAAATTTGGCCGCCCAATTTATTCTGCCAGCCAGGAGTGGTATAAAAATAGCCAACCTGCTGAAATATTCATTTGGGTCACATTTGCTTGAATGTAGTGATATTGCCTCTGCCAGTAACACTTCCTGCATATTTCCCTCCACCCTCCACCAAACCTCAGGGTCAACATAGGGCCTTCCAGTCAAGGCCCCAGCGAAAAGAAGCCCCCTGTGGAAACCGGGAGAGTAAGTACCAAATGGAGACTTAGAGGCTGTTAGCTGTTCCTGTTCTGTTACAAGTCAGGATTCCAGTTACCAGCACATCTTGGTTTTTTGTGCAGATTGAATTGACCGAACTCATTCTTGGGTTTCATTGTTTGCAGAATAACATTCAACTATTATGCCCTTGCCACAACCCATCCCAAAGTGGCTGCATAATACATGCATCGATGAATCTTTTTGCTAAAAAGTCCTCTCTTCACCGGGGATGGTGGCTCACGCCTATAATCCCAGTGTTTTGGAAGGCTAAGTGGAGCGGATCACCTGAAGTTAGGAGTTCGAGATCAGGCTGGCCACGCTGGTGAGACCCTGTCTCTACTAAAAATACAAAAAATTAGCTGGGCATGGTGGTGCATACCTGTAATCCCAGCTACTCGGGAGGCTGAGACAGGAGAATTGCTTGAACCCGGGAGGCGGAGGTTGCAGTGGGCCAAGATCATGCCACAGCACTCCAGCCTGGACAACAGAGTGAGACTCTAGCTCAAAAAAAAAAAAAAAAGTCCCCTCTTCTCAGCTTAAAAAGCTGCTTGTACTCAGCAGTTGAAATAAGAAAATATGTCTGTATAGAACTGAGGTGGGATCCAGTATAGAATTTTCCCTTTAGAAAACTTTTTGCCTTCATCTACATTGGAGTCTGAGTCTAGGAACATCTAGTTTTAACAAATGAGCTAGGCATGTATCAGCACTGATAACTGGTAAGAGAAAACTTCTAAAGCAGTGAAGGGTTGGCCCCTGATGGGATTAGATTTCATTTATGGGGTCTGTTTCCCATTTAGATATTCATATATCTGCTACCCCTCCTCCATTTCAGGACTTCTTTTCTATGCAGTCTCTAAAATAGTGACCTTTTTTTTTCCCCTCCCCACTTTAAATAGCTATTAGCTGGTATCCATGCCTTAAAGATCCTTCCTTTTTTGTCTATGTCTCTAAAGTAGCTCTGACCCTAAGTATCCAAACACAACTCACTTTCTTCACCTTCCCAGGACCCATACTGTTATGGAGTATGGAGCAAACTTTTATGGAGCAAACTTTTACATATGCGTTCATTCAACAGATTTTCTTTTCTTTTCCTTCCTTCCTTCTCTCTCTTTCTCCTTCCTTCCTTCCCTTTCTTTCTTTCTTTCTTTTTTCTTTTCTCCTTTCTCCTTCTTTCTTTATTTACTTCTTCTTTCTCCCTTTCCTTCTCTCTCTTTCCTTCTTTTCTTTTTCCGTCTCACTCTGTCTCCAGGCTGGAGTGCAGTGGCATGACCTCAGCTCATCATAATCTCAACCTCTGCCTCCCAGGTTCAAGCAATTCTCCTGCTTCCGCCTCCTGAGTAGCTGGGACTACAGGTGTGCACCACCAGGCCCAGCTAATTTTTTGTATTTTTACTAGAGACAGGGTTTCACCATCTTAGCCAGGATGGTGTCTATCTCCTGACCTTGTGATCCACCTGCCTCGGCCTCCCAAAGTACTGGGGTTATAAGCATGAGCCACTGTGCCTGGCGGTTTTTTTTTCTGAGATAGAGTCATGCTCTGTTGCCCAGGCTGGAGTGCAGTGATGCCATCTCGACTCACTGCAACCTCCTCCTCTCAGACTCAAGCGATCCTCTCATTTCAGACTCTGGAGAAGTTGGGACTAGTGGTGTGTGTCACCACACCCAGCTAATTTTTGTATTTTTTGTAGAGACGGGATTTTGTCATGTTGTCCAGGATGTAGTCAACAAATTTTCATTGAGTGTCTAAATGTGCCAAGTATCAGGGATACTTGGCAACAGCCCTAAAAACACCAACAGTGTATGGCTAGGCAGACAATTACTGACAGATGTGCCATGTGCAGGGTCAGAAGGAAGCACCGGATACAGAGAGAACATAAAGTGGCCGAGAGGGAAGGATTCCCAGAGTAGCTTTCAGTACAGTGCTAAGAAATGCTACTGAAGAAGTCAGAATGGACTGGATCTTGAAAAGCCTTGAGACTACCTTCAAGATCACAGGAATTCTCTAAAATATTTTTAAGTAGAAAAATGAAGTTATTTTCTTTTTTTTTTTTTTTCTTTTTTTTTTTGAGACAGAGTTTCGCTCTTGTTACCCAGGCTGGAGTGCAATGGTGCGATCTCGGCTCACTGCAACCTCCGCCTCCTGGGTTCAGGCATTTCTCCTGCCTCAGCCTTCTGAGTACCTGGGATTACAGGCACGCGCCACCATGCCCAGCTAATTTTTTGTGTTTTTAGTAGAGACGGGGTTTCACCATGTTGACCAGGATGGTCTCGATCTCTTGACCTCATGATCCACCCACCTTGGCCTCCCAAAGTGCTGGGATTACAGGCTTGAGCCACCGCGCCCGGCATCATTATTAAAGGATTATTCTGTCTCCTGCTCAGAAGGCATTGTGTTGGGTGCTCAGGCACACACAAACATATGTAAACCCTGATTTCTTTTTCTAGGAGCTTGTAATTTAGTTGGGAAAGGAGTATATCCTTGGGGATTTACACCTCTGCCTCTGTGACAGGGGCAGAGTCCAGGGCCCCAGTTGTGCTGTGGCCAGCTGGCCCACTGAGTGATTTTGGGCAGATAGTCAACCCCTTCTATGCCTCCCATCCTTTAGGGTGGTAAGAAAAAAGAAATGAGAAAGTACATGAGGAGTACATGAAGCTCTGGAGAACAAAGACGCTTTATACAACCAAGATAATTACTCTTAAAGAAACATTTTCCTCGCTCTCTACCTTTGGTACCTTCCTATTCTTAGTTTGACACATCATCTCTCTCAAGAACAGTACCCATAGCTTCTTACTCAACATAATTACCTTTTCAACCTGATTCTGGCTTTAGAAAAAAACTCTAGTAAAAGGAACATGTTTATTGATTTTGACTCAAAGCCCAAAGACATTCACCATCATGGACCCTGTTCCCAGGAAGATGATTTCTCCTAGATTAAAGTGATCACAGTGACTCTCAGTGTAAGTCACTTGAGCTGGAAAAATTGAATTTGCTCCTATGGTCCATTGCTTAATATGTTCTGCCCCCTTTACATGGAGTTAAGGGTACAGGATCACAGTCACTGTGCATGTGCGTGTCTGAACACATTGGGAGCCTGTGTAGGGAAAGCGTAGAAGAATACAATATGTATCTCTGTTTTATAAGAAGTGTTTTGCGGAAAATGGGAAGGAAGAGCAGAACCCCCTTGCCTTTGTTACTTCAGGTCCCAGATCGAAAGATCCAGACTTTGGAAGGATAAAAACTGGGAGGGAGCAGATGAATGGGCCAGAAGTGAAACAGACTAACTTCACGTAGCATTTTGTTGTTGTTGTTGTTTTCCTGTATCTGCTTGAACTGCACTTCTAAACAGATCTGGCCCTGAACATACAGAGGACAGTCTTGCATCAGGTTTTCAGAGTATTATATTCGATGGAGGTCCCAGATGTACCTTCAGTCTGAGTTCCAGCTATAATGCTTTTCCTCTCTTACGACTTTTCCTTGAGAAGATATCTCTCAAGATTTTGGGAGAGTATAAAAAAGCTACACTGTCTTGTCAGGGGACTCTTCCCTGGTTCAGAGGTAGGCTGTACGTCTGTCCCAGGGCCTTTGCCCTCTTGTTCTTCCTACCAACTTTAGTAGATGCTTTCACTAGGGCCACTGTATGTAGCAGGATTAAAGCCCCAAACGTAGGTTCGTTAAGTTTGTAAGAATCCCTCAAGGCAGAAACCAGAGCTTGGCCTTCTAAATTCCATCTCCACTCTCTCTAGAAAAGGTAAGAATGGTCTCCTTCCTCCTCAGAGTTCCCTGTTGCTTTTATAGGAATATGACTTAGGTGGCTGCCCATGTGGTCTGGATTTGAGCAGTTTGTGAATAGGCTCAGTTCAAAGATACCTGCCATTCTAACCTGAAGCTTATTCTTAGGATGGGGGCAAGTCCTAGCTTTTCTTTTTTCTTTTTCTTTTCCTTTTTTTTTTTTTTTTTTTTTTTTTGAGACCGAGTTTCACTCATGTTGCCCAGGCTGGAGTGCAATGATGCAATGTTGGCTCACTGCAACCTCCGCCTCCCAGGTTCAAGCGATTCTTCTGCCTCAGCCTCCTGAGTAGCTGGGATTACAGGCATGTGCCACCATGCCCGGCTAATTTTGTATTTTTCGTAGAGATGGAGTTTCTCCTTGTTGGTGAGGTTGGTCTTGAACTCCTGACCTCGTGATCTGCCCGCCTTGGCCTCCCAAAGTGCTGGGATTACAGGTGTGAACCACCACGCCCGACCTAGTCCTAGCTTGTCTAGAGACTTGCCATGCCTCTGCCTCCCAGAACCTACCTTTACAGTCTTCAGCCCTTTGCTCTAGAACTCTTCACCATGGGAGCTAAGCTATGAGGATGCAAGGCTTCAGAATGATACAACGGACTGGGCCAGGCATGGTGGCTCACACCTGTAATCCCAGCACTTTGGCCAAGGTGGGTGGATCACGAGGTCAGGAGTTCGAGACCAGCCTGACCAACATGGTGAAACCCCATCTCTATTAAAAATACAAAAATTATCCAGGTATGGTGGTACATGCCTGTAATCCCAGCTACTCAGGAAGCTGAGGCAGGAGACTTGCTTGAACCTGGGAGGCAGAGGTTGCAGTGAGCCAAGATCTCGCCATTGTACTCCAACTTGGGCAACAAGAGCAAAACTCCATCTCAAAAAAAAAAAAAAAGAATGATACAATGGACTTTGGGGACTGGGAGGAAAGGGTGGGAGGGGGTGAGGCATAGAAGATTACACACTGGGTATAGTATACACTGTTTGGGTGATGAGTGCACCAAAATCTCAGAAACCACCACTAAAAAAAGTATTCATGTAACCAAACACCTGCTCCCTAAAAACCTATTGAAATAAAAAATATTTTTTAATGGGAAAAAAATTCAGTAAACTGCTTACCCAAAAGTAAAAAAAAAGAACTCTTCACAAGCAAAACAGCTCGAGGAGCTCCATCACTGCTGGGTGGGTAAAGCCCCTCGGTTCTGACTGGGTAAAGAGAGGAGTAGCCAGTGGCAGATTCCCAAAGAAAATAGAACCATATTTCTGACTATCAAGGTGTTCACTGGAAAAATGTGAGCCTGGAGTCAGGTTATAAAATGTCCTCTTCAGAGTACAGAGAAATTTCTATAAAGCAGCAGCACATGGAGAAATAATAAGATTGTGTTGTATTGTGCTGGCTGCTAATGCCACAGTCATGTTTTCACCATGCCTGGCTCTAGCCATGCTGATCCTATTTATTTAATGGCACTGTGCCCTCATACCTCATGTCCCTGTATGGAATGCCTTGCTGTGACTGACCATCTCCTCACCCCTGTTATGACAAAATCCCACTCATCCATCAAGGCTCCATTCAAATATCACTTTTCCTGTGAAGCCTTCCTTGACTAACGCCACCTGCTCCATTAACATCCTCCTCAGCAGCCACAGCACTGTATATGGATTCGTTGGGTGGTCTTATCACACTTTTTTTTTTTAAGACAGGATCGGCTGGGCGCAGTGGCTTACGCCTGTAACCCCAGCACTTTGGGAGGCCGAGGCAGATGGATCACGAGGTCAAGAGATTGAGACCATCCTGGCCAACATGGTGAAACCCCGTCTCTTCTAAAAATACAAAATTAGCCAGGCATGATGGCACGTGCCTGTAGTCCCAGCTACTCAGGTGGCTGAGGCAGAAGAATCGCCTAAACCTGGGAGCTAAGACTGGGCCGCTGCACTCCAGCCTGGTGACAGAGCAAGACTCCGTCAAAAAAAAAAAAAAAACTGGAGTCTCCCTCTGTTGCCCAGGCTGGAGTGCAATGGTACAACCTTGGCTCACTGCAACCTCCGCCTCCCAGGTTCAAGTGATTCTCCTGCCTCAGCCTCCCAAGTAGCTGCTGAGATTACAGGTGCCCACCACCACACCTGGCTGATTTTTTGGTATTTTTAGTAGAGACAGAGTTTCAACATGTTGGCCAGGATGGTCTTGAACTGCTGATATCAGGTGATCTGCCAACCTTGGCCTCTCAAAGTGCTGGGATTACAGGTGTGAACCACCATGCCTGGCCATCACACTGTCTTAAAATTGACTAAGTTTATGTCTATTTTGCCCCATAGATTATACATTTCTCCAAGGTAAATTTAAGGTCCTCCTGATTTCTGAAACCTCAGTGTTCTGTCCTTGATCATAGTAGGCACTCAGTAATATGGAATAAGTTAAACCCAGCTTGATTTATTCTTGGCTCTTAAATCTTATTGTTTTAGTGGGACAGTGGTTAGGATCTTTGAAATGAAAAAGGACAGTCCTATGGAAAGAAATGTAGAATCTGTCTAGGCAGTGAGAAGCCAGGCCCCAGTGCTGATGTGAAATCAGTTCTCCATCAAATAGCATTTAGATTATAGGAGTAAAGTTTAATAATTTTCTTGGTCTTCTTTCTATCAGAACAGGGAAAGAAAAACCCAACAAGGATTGCAGGAGACTCTGGCCTCTGATATGTCTGATGTCCAGAAACAAAGTAGGTTCTGGGAAATTTCCATTTATTCTCCTTTAATAATCACCCTTTCCCTCACAGTTCTCTGAAGAGTAGAGCAGCACAGAGCTGAGTCTGGGCACACTCAGTAGGTAATGTGCCTTGCTCCCGTGGAGGCGCCTGTTAGCCATCTTCTGGTCTGGGGGCCTGTCCTAGAGTGATAGAAGCCCCCCAGCTCCCGAAAGGAGCGAAGGGAGGCAATGCATGCCCTTCCTCTGCTTCTGATAGTGAAGTTGTGCTCCTCATTTCAAAACATTTCCGAGCGAGGTGATAAACTTTATAGAAAAGTTGGGAGAGGGCTGGGCGTGGTAGCTCACACCTGTAATTCCAGCACTTTGAGAGGCCGAGGCAAGTGGATCGCTTGAGTCCAGGAGTTTGAGACCAGACTGACCAACATGCCAAAACCCCATCTCTATTAAAAATACAAAAACAAACAAACAAAAAAAATTAGCTGGACATGGTGGCGTAAGTCTGTAACCCCAGTTACTCAGGAGCCTGAGGCAAAAGAATCTCTTGAACCCAGTGCGTGGGGGGACGTGGAGGTTGCAGTGAGCCAAGATAGCACCACTGCACTCCAGCCTGGGCAACAGAGCAAGACTTTGTCTCAAAAAAGAAAAATAGAAAAGTTAGGAGGATTGTGTTTTCCTTTTCTGCTTTTAGAGAATGATCTCTTCCCTTTGGAGCATTAGTGTTAATATTGAAGTTACAGAGGCTGGGCACAGTGGCTCATGCCTGTAATCCCAGCACTTTGGGAGGCCAAGGGGGCAGATCATGAGGTCAGGAGATCAAGACCATCCTGGCCAATTTAGTGAAACCCTGTCTCTACAAAAAAAAAAAAAAAAAAATACTGAAGTTACAGATGGTTGCTTTGCAAGGGTTGGGAATGCATATCAAGCTTTTGCCCTCCCTACTTGTTGATCTTTTACCCAGCATGAGGATTCAATGTGGGTTGCCGTTATCACAGAAACAGGGATGTAAGCAAGTGAGTCCTTCAACAACTTGTCATTCTCTGTGAAGACATACCAGCCAGAGTGCATGGCTGGAACTTGAGCTGGGTAAATATCCCCAGAGCCTGACTGAAAACACTCTAAGGTCAGAATAGCATCTTACTGAACTGAGATGAAATTGGGAAGATCAGAAAAAACAATCTACCTGGCTTTAAAGAACTCTTGGTGTGAGGTTGCCTCTGGCTCATAGTGGATATTCTACCTTCTACTCACATGAAAACAACCTATGGATGAACATCTTGTTCCTGCCTGATTGTTTTCCTTACAGATTCTGAGTGGGGACACAGCCTGCCAGGGCCAACTGTCCCACCACTGCAGCAAAGCTCATCTCCACCTAAGGAGCAAGGAGGCAGCGGCTTCATTGAGTTTCTAAGGTAAGACAGCTTCTGTCCAGCCATCAGACTCTGGAGATCCAGCTCAGAGCAGCTCATTGAGTCTTTCAGGGAAATTAGAATAGAAAAGAAAGCAGATTACTTACAGAGGCGTCTCAATTATGTCTAGGATAGATGATGAAAAAGAGATTGAGAACAAAAGCCCTAATTGTGCATTTATTTTTTTTAATTGCATTTTAGGTTTTGGGGTACATGTGAAGAACATGTAAGATCGTTGCATAGGTACACACATGGCAGTGTGGTTTGCTGCCTTCTTCCCCATCACCTATATCTGGTATTTCTCCCCATGTTTTCCTCCCCAACTCCCCACCCTGCACTGCCCCTCCCCTATTCTCCCCCACAGACCCCAGTGTATGATGCTCCCCTCCCTGTGTCCATGTATTCTCATTATTCGACACCCACCTATGAGTGAAAATATGTGGTGTTTGATTTTCTGTTCTTGTGTCAGTTTGCTGAGAATGATGATTTCCAGGTTCATCCATGTTCCTACAAAGGACACAAACTCACTGTTTTTTATGGATGCATAGTATTCCATGGTGTATCTGTACCACATTTTCCCTGTCCAGTCTATCATCAATGGGCATTTGGGTTGGTTCCAGGTCTTTGCTATTGTAAACAGTGCCACAATGAACATTCGTGTGCATGTGTCCTTATAATAGAACGATTTATAATCCTTTGGGTATATACCCAGTAATGGGATTGCTGGGTCAAGTGGAATTTCTATGTCTAGGTCCTTGAGGAATCACCACACTGTCTTCCACAATGGCTGAATTAATTTACACTCCCACCAACAGTGTAAAAGTGTTCCTATTTCTCCACATCCTCTCCAGCATCTGTTGTCTCCAGATTTTTTAATGATCGCTATTCTAACTAGTGTGAGATGTTATCTCAATATAGTTTTGATTTGCATTTCTCTAATGACCAGCGATGATGAGCATTTTTTCATATGTTTGTTGGCCTCATATATGTCTTCTTTTGTAAAGTGTCTGTTCATATCCTTTGCTCACTTTTGAATGGGCTTGTTTGTTTATTCTTATAAATCTGTTTTAGTTCTTTGTAGATTCTGGATATTAGCCCTTTGTCACATGAGTAGACTGCAAAAATTTTTTCCTGTTCTGTTGGTTGCCGATTCACTCTAATGACTGTTTCTTTTGCTGTGCAGAAGCTGTGGAGTTTGATTAGGTCACATTTGTCTATTTTGGCTTTTGTTGCCATTGTTTTTGGTGTTTTAGTCGTCCTTGCCTATGCCTATGTCCTGAATGGTTTTGCCTAGGTTTTCTTCTAGTGTTTTTATGGTGTTACATATTATGTTTAAGTCTTTAATTCATCTGGAGTTAATTTTAGTGTAAGGTGTCAGGAAGGGGTCCAGTTTCTGCTTTCTGCACATGGCTAGTCAGTTTTCCAAACACCTTTTATTAAACAGGGAATCCTTTCCCCATTGTTTGTTTTTGTCAAGTTTGTCAAAGATCAGGTGGTTGTGGCATTGCCTCCGAGGCCTCTGTTCTGTTCCATTGGTCTGTATCTCTGCTTTGGTACCAGTACCATGCTGTTTTGATTACTGTAGCCTTGTAGTATAGTTTGAAGTCAGGTAGTGTGATGCCTCCAGCTTTGTTCTTTTTTATTGGAATTGACTTGGCTATGCGGGCTCTCTTTTGGTTCCATATGAAGTTTAAGGTAGTTTTTTTCCAGTTCTGTGAAGAAGGTCATTGGTAGCTTGATGGGGATAGTGTTGAATCTGTAAATTACTTTGGGCATTATGGGCATTTTCACGATACTGATTCTTCCTAACCATGAGCATGGAATGTTTCTCCATCTCTTTGTGTCCTCTCTTATTTCATTGAGCAGTGGTTTGTAGTTCTCCTTAAAGATATCCTTTACATTCTTTGTTAGTTGCGTTCCTAGGTATTTTATTCTCTTTGTAGCAATTGTGAAGGCAGTTCATTCTTGATTTGGCTCTCTTTAAGTCTGTTATTGGTGTATAGGAATGTTTGTGATTTTTGCACATTGATTTTGTATCCTGAGACTTTGCTGAAGTTGCTTATCAGTTTCAGGAGATTTGGGGCTGAGACTAATTGTGCATTTAATAAAGACTGTGTCTTACTCATTTTTACACAACTCACCTCTACCCTGATGTGTCCAGCATAAAGCCTAGCACCATAAACATTAACTTGGACCAGGGGCGGTGGCTCACACCTGTAATCCCAGCACTTTGGGAGGCTGAGGCAGGTGCATCACCTGAGATCAGAAGTTCAAGACCAGCCTGGCCAACATGGTGAAACCCCATCTCTACTAAAAATACAAAAATTAGCCTGGCATTGGCCGGGTGTGGCGGTTCACGCCTGTAATGTCAGCACTTTGGGAGGCCCAGGTGGGCGGGTCATGAGGTCAGGAGTTCAAGACCAACCTAGCCAATATGCTGAAACCTGGTCTCCACTAAAGATACAAAAACAAAAAACAAAAAAACTAGCTGGGCATGGTGGCTCACACCTGTAATCCCAGCTACTCAGGAGGCTGAGGCAGGGAGAATTGCTTGAACCCAGGAGGTGGAGGTTGCAGTAAGCTGAGATCGCGCTGTTATACTCCAGCCTGGGCAACAGGGTGAGACTCCGTCTCATAAACAAAAAAGAAAAAATTAGCCAGGCGTGGTGGCATGTGCCTGTAATCCCAGCTACTAGGGGGTGCTAAGGCAGGAGAATTGCTTGAACCCCAGAGGCAGAGGTTGCAGTGAGCCAAGATCGTGCCACTGCACTTCAGCCTGGGCGACAAAGCAAGACTCTCAAAACAACAAACAAACAAAAAACATTAACTTGAACAAAATCTATTCTTATTTTATTGAGCCATTCAGAAGATTTGGTTACCAAAACATTTCCGTTCTCCCCTCTGAATCTAGGTTGTGTTTGCAGAGGATAGTTACAAATGTCCCTCTCTCTTTCTCTCTCTCAGCCATCCCATTGCAATTCTCTTTCTTTATTTCCCCCTCCTGAGTGTAATCTAATTTGAGTACCTTTTCAAATGCTATTCCAGTCTTGAATTTCCATTCAATGGTTCCCCAGAGCACAAATGCCCTAGCTAGTGAAGCACTAATGGGAAATGGAGAGAAGGGAAGGAGACCTCATAGTCTCAGCCTACTCTGCTCTTATTCCTGCAGCTCTCTCTTCCCGATTCGGTATTTCTTCAGGAAGAGCAGCCACTCTTGAGCCTTCCAAATGCAGCGCTGGAAAGAGGATCATCTCTTGCAGTGACTCTTCCCGAGCCATTCTTCCTCCAACTCTATCCTTTTCTTACGACACTTCAGTCGTAGGGAATGAGGTCCCCATACTGAGTCCTCTGTGGATTTATCCTGTCCTTTGCCCCTTTACAGATTTTGTTTCCCAATTTAAAACATTTAAGAAAAGAATGGAACTTTCTAAAATGTTCATGTCCTGAGGGCCAGTTTAGGCCTTTTGTCTTCAGCACTTAGAATCCTAATGACAATAAATTATTTATGAAGAGTTATTGATTGAATTTAGTGGAACAGAGTAAGAGAGAACAAATTCTTCCCTCAAGATACAGAGAAAATGTGTGAAACTTCCCTAGGTCTACCTGGTTACTGTTCACAGGATCACTTTGGGCATGTCAGTCTGTGCCAGGGGTTAGGGAATAGGGTCTTTCAAGACTCACTGTCCTGAGCCCTGCTCACCCAAGAGACCTCTTCCTTGGTTCCAGTTTGGCCCCAGATGATAGCTTCTCCATAGACAAAATGTTTCCCACTTCTCTATCCCTCTAGCTGTTTGACAGTAATGCAGATTTGTTTATCAGATTAACTGGAAGTCAGTCCAGGTTGGCCCCGCTAGAGAAGGCCTGGGCACCTGAGCTGCCTTTAACTAAAGGGCTGATCTGGAACAGACACTAGAGCCTTGTGTGACCATGGAGAACCAAAATGATCTATGGAAATGTAGGGAAACTCGTTTGAGCTCACAACAAAGAAGTCACTTTTTACCAGTTAGAGATGTCCAGTATTAGAATGGGCTACCTTGTAAGGTAATGAGCCTTGTCACCCAAATGCTTTAAACAGAGGTGATCATCTGTCACACGCACAGGGTGCCCCTCAGTGAGAGAGTAGGGGCTGGACTGCTATGGAGGACCCGTCAAACCAGGATCCAGGACTTGAGGGGATGGGGGCTGATGGGGAAACCGTAGAGTGTGGAGATTTGAGGATTAGTGACATTGGTAACACTAATTCCTCTCAAGTTATGTTTATAGCCTTTACTATTCCTAAAGATGGCCTGCTTTACAAAACTGCTAAGAAGCGCAGCTCCAAATCTGGAGCCGTGAGTGCCCACCCTGACCCTGACTAGTTTACGGTGAAGCTTTGGGAAGTTGTTTTCCTCTGAGCTCTTATTTTCTCATCCGGAAAAAGAGGGGGTAAGATTTGGCGAGTTATAAAATGCTTTCTACTTCTACCTCTGGCAGTCTATGTGACTGGTCCTGCTCTTTCTGAGCTGGACAGTGAGGCAGTGACCTTGAAGGGGGCTGCCCAGAATCACCCACCACAGGCTTCCTTCGGCTCTCTACCCTGCCCCAACCCCTCTAGCCACTGCTGCCTAGGGGTCTTTTTCCAACTTGCCACATTCTTTTTTTTTTTTTTTTTTTTTGAGACGGAGTTTCGCTCTTGTTACCCAGGCTGGAGTGCAATGGCGCGATCTCGGCTCACCGCAACCTCCGCCTCCTGGGTTCAAGCAATTCTCCTGCCCCAGCCTCCTGAGTAGCTGGGATTACAGGCACGCACCACCATGCCCAGCTAATTTTTTGTATTTTTTTAGTAGAGACGGGGTTTCACCATGTTGACCAGGATGGTCTCGATCTCTCGACCTTGTGATCCACCCGCCTCGGCCTCCCAAAGTGCTGGGATTACAGGCTTGAGCCACCGCGCCCGGCCCAACTTGCCACATTCTTGATCCAAGTTTAGCACCATGGATGGACAGCAGATTTGGGTTCGAAATCAGCCCTGACATTAACTAGCTGGGTGACTTAGTGACTTTCCTTCCTTGAGCCTTAGTTGCCTCATCTATAAAACCAGAGCTGGACAAATCAATCAGCTTTGCTGGGGTTGATGACTTCAGGCCCTTTCAGGAGTCAGGTCCCTGTTATTCCAGGGCTAGAGGGACACTCCAGCTCAGAACGTAACTCTGTAGCACAGGATGCGAATCATCCACCTGACACCGTGGCCATGCAGCTCTGAAACAGACAGCAACTCTTAACCCCCTGGCTCTGCCACCAAACGCATCTCAGGAGACATCCACTGGTATAATTTCTCTTGTCCCTAAGAAGGGGTTAGGGTCCCTAAGAAGGAATCCCCCAGTCTCTTTCCTTTGCAGTTAGAAAAAGGCAAGCAAGGCCGGGCGCGGTGGCTCAAGCCTGTAATCCCAGCACTTTGGGAGGCCGAGGCGGGTGGATCACAAGGTCAAGAGATCGAGACCATCCTGGTCAACATGGTGAAACCCCGTCTCTACTAAAAATACAAAAAAGTAGCTGGGCATGGTGGCACATGCCTGTAATCCAAGCTACTCAGGAGGCTGAGGCAGGAGAATTGCCTGAACCCAGGAGGTGGAGGTTGCAGTGAGCCGAGATCGCGCCATTGCACTCCAGCCTGGGTAACAAGAGCGAAACTCCGTCTCAAAAAAAAAAAAAAAGAAAAAGGCAAGCAAGGCTGAGTTTAGTGGTTTTAAAGTTAGGGGTGTGGCCAGGCACAGTGGCTCATGCCTGTAATCCCAGCACTTTGGGAGGCCTAGGCAGGCAGATCCCTTGAGCTTAGCAGTTCAAGACCATCCTAGGCAACATGGCGAAACCCTATCTCTACAAAAAAAATACAAAGGTTAGCTGGTCATAGTGGTGCGCCTGTGGTCCCAGCTACTCAGGAGGCTAAGGTAGGAGGATGGCTTGAGCCTGGGAGGCTGAGAGGCAGAGGTTGCAGTGAGCTGAGATAACGCCACACACTCCAGCCTGGCCGACAGAGCCAGACTCTCTCAAAACAATAGTAATAAATGACAATAAAGTTAGGGGTGATCAGGCCCTGAACAGGGAAGTGTTCTGTGCAAGGTCACACAGCAAAGAAGATAACCCGGGTGCCCACATCTCAGCCCAGAGTCTTGACCCCTCTGTCATCAGTTGCACACATGCTGCACACTACACCAGCCCCTGGGTTTCTCTACACATCTGATTTCTCCAGGCCCGGACTGTGGGTGGCTTTTTGGACAGAAGGAAGCAGAAAACAGCAGGAGCTAGGACCACACCTCAAACAGAAACCCAGGTGGGATTGCTCTGAGGCTTCAGGCGGGGGAGGCTGGCCTGAAAGCCGATCTCCAAGAGGGTGTGGCTCCAAAACGCTGGCAAATAAAAGCCTGGAGAGTCAGCACCAGTCTGGAGACCAGCGGGAGGCACGGGAAAACTGCAAGCCGTTCTGTTCCTGGGCCTCGGAAGTGGTGAGCTCGCAGAGGCAGGAGGAGCTCTGGGGAGGGCCTGGGAATGTGGATGAGGGCCCTGCAGGCCAAGATGTGCAGATGGAGGGAGGAAGATGTTGGTGCTCCAGATGGTGAAGGAAATTCCAGGGAAGGGAGAATCATTGCACAGTGGGCTGACACACAGGTCCTATCCAGAGACACCTGCTCACACTCACACCTGTACACACACACACACACACACACACACACACACAAAGGTAGATGTGAGGAAAAGGCAGCACCACTCAGGCACACCTCACCTGTCAGACCAGCCAGCCCTGGCTCACTCACCTGGAATGCAGCATTTAAAGAACTCACCATCCCACCTCCATACCCACGTAGAAACATCTCCCCACTGTGTTTCAGATGCTCATGGCATCCCCCCAAACCCTGGTCCTCTGTCTGCTGGTCCTGGCAGTCACTGAAGGCTGGGGCCAAGAGGCAGCCATCCCAGGCTGCCACTTGCACCGTGAGTACCTCTGGGACCAGAGGGTTAGGAGGAGTGGAGGTTCTGGGTGGGAGCAAAGAGCTGATAGACTGGATGGTGGGGCAGGCAGCACCCTAGAGGGCCCCATGCTGAGGCACAGGCAGCAGGAGCCGGGGCGAGGCAAACCTTCGCAGAGGCACCGTCCACTGCTTGTCTCCCTTTAGCCTTCAATGTGACAGTGCGAAGTGACCGCCAAGGCACCTGCCAGGGCTCCCACGTGGCACAGGCCTGTGTGGGCCACTGTGAGTCCAGCGCCTTCCCTTCTCGGTACTCTGTACTGGTGGCCAGTGGCTACCGACACAATATCACCTCTGTCTCTCAGTGCTGCACCATCAGTGGCCTGAAGAAGGTAAGGAGGGCCTGAGCCTGGTGGGTGGACGCTGGGGTGGGAGGAAGACGCAGGAGATGGAGGCCCTGAGAAAGGGGCCTGCAGCACGGACTCCCCCTCCTGCAGGTGAAAGTACAGCTGCACTGTGTGGGGAGCCAGAGGGAGGAGCTCGAGATCTTCACCGCCCGGGCCTGCCAGTGTGACATGTGTCGCCTCTCCCGCTACTAGCCCATCCTCTCCCTTCCTTCCTCCCCTGGGGCACAGGGCTTGCCATTCTGATGGGGAAAACCTGGGTTTGAGATTCAAAAACTGGAAGGTACTCCAACCCTGCTGGTTACTTGCTATGGAATTTTTTTAAGTAACACGGGGTTGTTCCAGCTCTGACCCTCTAAGATTTTGTGACTGTCACCTCCTGAGAAGAGGGGAGTTTCTGCTGCTTCCCTGCCTCTCTCTGGCTCTTCTAAACCAATCTTTCATCATTTTACTTCCCTCTTTTCCCTTACCCCTAAATAAAGCAAGCAGTTCTTGAGTTTCTCTCTTTATTAAGTCTACCCCCAGCCAGGGAAAGAGGGTAGACCATGATTACTATGACCCCCCCACCTTACCCCAGGACACTGTGAATCTCTTCTTGCCTGTGCCCTCCCCCTCCCCCTGCCCAATAAATAAAAAGGGGACAAGGAAGTACACAGTGAGGGAGGGAAGGAGTGTGCCCCCAGGACAGTGTCTTTGTAGAGGGTGAGCTGGGCGAGAATAAATAGACCATGGACCCCATAGGGATGAGGAAAGACCTCGTGCTGGCCAAGGCAGGGACAGGCAAGGCGCTGACTGCCCTTGCCCAAGGCCAGGAGCAGAGGGTGGGAGCCTGCCTGCAGCCCGGAGCCCAGCTTTGCCGGGCAGGGGAAGATCCCTGATGGCAGCTTCCTGGTCAAGCTTGCCCTTGTCAAGTCCTGCCACGAGGGGCTGAGCATTCTGTTGCCAAGACCACCATCGCCTCTCCTCTCCCCCAGTGAAAGCCGGGCCCGGCAGGGAGTCCTCAGAAGCCACTCTGGCAAGGCCAGGGGTAGGTGTGTTTCTCTCTGGGCCCCTGGACAGGAGAAGGGATAGAGGGACTGACAGCTCTGGGTTTAGCTTCTCCTCTTCTGAGGTGCTGTCTAGCTCTGACCCCCACTGGTGGCCACCTGGGGTGTAAGCCGCTGGTAGGGAGCCTCCTTGGCCCCCTGGGTCCCCTGTAGCCGGCGTAGCCGCAGCTCTTCCAAACCTTGCCATAACTCCTGACGCTCCTGGGCCTTCTGCTGCTCCCTGGGGAGAGAAAGTGAGGCAGCTCTCCTTCCTGGTACCCCCTACCGCCAAAGTCCAGACTCCTCACTACCACCCCACTGGCAAAGGGAAGACATGGAACGATTTTTGTTCTGTGACTCCATAAAAACCCTCTGCTGGCAGGAGAATTGCCTGAACCCAGGAGGCGGAGGTTGCGGTGAGCCGAGATCGCGCCATTGCACTCCAGCCTGGGCAACAAGAGCGAAACTCCGTCTCAAAAACAAACATACAAACAAACAAAAAAACCCTCTGCTGAGGGAAGAGAGAGAGGAGAGACTGACGCCAGCCTGCGGTCACGGAGAAGATGATGGGTGGGGCTCTGAGTGGTTCTGGCTGAAGAGTAGGAAGCTACAGAGAGTCAGAGCAAGTCCGAGCTACTCGAAGAATGATGGAAAGATACAGGGGCAGGCAGTCAGGCACAGGACGGCAGGAGCATGGAGAGACTTGCGGACTTGTGGTATCTCATCAGATAGGGTTTGGGGTGGTCCTTGGGTTCCCTCCAGCCATGGGGGGGGTCTCATTCCTCCCTGTTGTTCTCCCTTCCCCCACACCCAGCCCCCAATACTCACTGCTGCTTTTCCAGCTTGTAGGAGGCTGTGAGCTCATCAAACAGCTTCCCATTCATCTCCATGAAGGTCTTGAGCACATTGTAGATCAGCGATACGATGGTTCTTGGCAGGGTTAAGGAAGGACAAGAAGATGAAACAGCTTCCGTTTGCCCACCTCCCCCTTTCCCTGCCCTTCGCATATAGCATTCCACACTGAACACAAGCACTGCCCACTTCCCTGTCCTTTTCACCACCCTGGGGCCATCTTTTGGTGCTTTCTCTGATGCTCTCCAGCTTGGAGTAACCCCAGGGTCTGGACTGGCTGGCTCTGGTCCCAGTTTCTGTGAGTTAGGTCAAGGCCTGGCACTCACTGGTTCCAGTGCTCCTTGGAGACTTGGTAGAGGGTCCCAAACACAGCAGGCAGCACAGTGTGGCAGTTGTCCTCAATGAGGCTTAGGATATACTCATTGTTCCAGAAATACAGAGCCCGCTCTGCAACCTGGGGCAGACAAGATGGCAGAGTGAGTGACTGGCAGTGGCATCTCTGTATGCAAGGCCTGGTGTCCATCGCTACCTCAAAGCCCAGGCCCCCTGACCTTCACATAGCCCACCTTCAGGGCTCATCTGAGCCCCAGGAAGCAACTTGTTGAAGGGAAAGAGCACTAGATACAGAATCCAATGCTGCGGGGTGAATCCTAACCACTACAGGCTCCACTACGCCATGTCACCTTGGGAGAGGCATTTAACCTTCCAGCCTCAGTTTTTTCATCTGTAAAATGGGGCTAATAATACCTATCTCCACAAGCTGTTAGAAGAATCAAATGAGATACTAGACGTTTAGGTGTTTAATGAACTGACGCGCCAGAATCGCTGTGAGGAAGACTTGACTTCCACTGGATCATGGCCCATGAGAACGGGAGGAAGTCTGCACATGCCTGCAGCAGCACGTGAGTTAGAGCTAGCTGGGATGACGCAGGGAAGCCTGGCTGCAGCCCAAAGGGAGTCTAATGAAATCTAAGGCCACTAGCAAAAGGGGAAAGTGATAACAGCCCTCCATTCATTCTGGAGCACACTTCAGTTTACCAAACACGTTTACACTCACAATCTTCCATCCTCATCACCACCCTGTGAAGAGATGGTTGGCCCATTTTACAGCTGAGGAAACTTAATCAGAATCAGAGCGGCACAGCGATCTCCTCAAGGCCCCTCAGCCAGTGGAAAGCAGAGCTGAGGCTTCACCCTAGGTGTCCTGACCTTAAGTCCAGCATCTCCCCATTACCAGACCCAGGATTGGAGAAGAAACTGAGGGCAAAGGGAGCTGCATTAGGTCAACTACCCAACCTTTCCAGGCCAACCCTGCTCCCATCCCCGCCTGTCCTGCCTCATACCTGGAAATGGGGGCTGGAAACACAGCGAGCCACCTGCTTAAAAAGGGGCTCCTGGATCTTCACAAACTGGGACGGCTCGATGACATCAAGAATTTCTTCCATCTCCCCGAGAAACATCACCTGGGTGAGGTGGGGAAGGGAGTAGGGACAGAGGGGCAGCAGCTCACATCTCCCCCCACACATATACACCCTGACTGCCTTCTAGAGGCCGAGCCCCCCCCAGCCTCCCTGTGGTGGGCATCAAAGCCCTTCATACCTCCTTCTGGGTGCAGGTTTTTGGCCAGTATTTGAGCAGTCCCCGGATCACCTGTGGGAGTTGAGACAGAAAGGAGTCACGCCTGCAGGGGTGAGAGGCTGCCTTAGCCCCCAGAGGTACTCACGTGCTCAGTTAGAGTGGCATCCTTCTCCAGGAACTGTACCACACAGTATGCCAGCTGCAAGGGGTGAGAGGTAGAGAGACAGAAGATGGGTGAGGAAGGTACCAGGTGCCAAGGACTTGCTGCTCAGGGCAGAATGCCACACACTGTTCACCCACTGCCTGTCACTTTCTTGTTTTGTTTTGTTTTTTTAAGACACAGTCTCACTCCATTGCCCAGGCTGACGTGCAGTGGCACAATCTCTGCTCACTGAAACCTCCGCCTCCTGGGTTTAAGCAATTCCCCTGCCTCAGCCTCCCGAGTAGCTGAGACTACAGGTGCACGCCACCAAGCCTGGCTAATTTTTTCTATTTTAGTAGAGACAGGCTTTCACCATGTTGGCCAGGATGGCCTTGATCTCCTGACCTTGTGATCTGCCCGTTTCAACTTCCCAAAGTGCTGGAATTACAGGTATGAGCCACCACGCCCAGCCGCCTGTCACCGTCTTATTCACCAAGCATTTATCACCTGCCTATGCACCAGGCATCACACGCAGTGTGCTGGGAATACAACTACAATCTCATGGAAGGGACAGTCAACAAGCTCATCTTTACAAATTTTGCAAAAGGTTCTGTAATATGGCTAGTGTGGAGGCTCACGCCTATAATCCAAGCACTTTGGGAGACTGAGGCAGCAGAATCACTTGAGTCCAGGAGTGACCAGCCTAGGTAACATAGCAAGACACTGTCTCTACAAAAAAAAAAAAAAAAATTTTTTTGATTAGCCAGGCCTGGTGGCATATGTCTGTGGTCCCAGCTACTCTGGAGGCCGAGGAGGAAGGACTGCTTGAGCCCAGGAGGTAGAGGTTTCAGTGAGCCGTGTTCATACCACTGCTCTCCAGCCTAGGCAACAGAGTGGGGTTCTATCTCAAAAAAATTTTAAAAAGATTTGTGTATCGGCCGGGCGCGGTGGCTCAAGCCTGTAATCCCAGCACTTTGGGAGGCCGAGGCGGGTGGATCACAAGGTCGAGAGAGCGAGACCATCCTGGTCAACGTGGTGAAACCCCGTCTCTACTAAAAACACAAAAAATTAGCTGGGCATGGTGGCGCGTGCCTGTAATCCCAGCTACTCAGGAGGCTGAGGCAGGAGAATTGCTTGAACCCAGGAGGCGGAGGTTGCAGTGAGCCGAGATTGCGCCATTGCACTCCAGCCTGGGTACCAAGAGCGACACTCTGTCTCAAAAAAAAAAAAAAAAAAAAAAAAGATTTGTGTATCAAAATCTCCCATAATTGATTTGTGTATCCAAATCTTTGGGAATATAGAAGGAGGAGAATTTAATTCTGCCTAGGGAGGGGAGAGAAGAAAAGCCTGGCTTCAAAAAAAAAAAAAAAAAAGAAAAAGGAAAAAAAAGCAAAGCCTGGCTTCACAGAGCTGATACCTGAGGTTAGCCTTAAAGAGCCAGTGGGAATTCTCTAAGGCTGATGGAACAGAATTCTAAAGACAAAAGTGAGATGGGCTCCCTGGAGGATCTGACCAGGAGTCACTGACTATCCAGAACTCCGCGGCAACGGGGCCAGGCTTGGGCCTCACCTGGGCGTGAAAGACAGACAGCGACTTGACAGAGTGCAGGGGGATTAGGACGCGGACCAGGAACTGCTTGTGCTCCGTCTTCAGGGGCAGCGCAAAGCCATTGATGATGCTGAGGAGGAGGCAGGAGAGAGAAAGGGGGGCTCAGGTGACCTGGTCCCAGTCCCTCCTTCCATAATCTTGAGCTCCAGCTTAGCCCCAGGAGAATCACCTTCCTAGGATCTCAAGCAGCTCAGCCACACCATTGAAGTGCTCGAATTCATAGATGAACCTGCAAGAGAAGAACCCAGGCGGGCTCAGAGCAAGCAGGGTTGGCCCGAGTGCCTCCTTAGG